GGACGAACTTGTCAACCATGATCACAGCTTCGGGGATCCTTCTTTCTGCTCAGGGTACGCGTATCACACCAACGTGAATGCCTGGTACCGAGGGGCCACCCATCAGTCACACACCTCCAGCGCCTTACTGTCCCCAATGTCCATCACAGCGGCCTTGGTGATGCTTTCCTTGGGGGCCAAAAGTGATACTCACACCGAGATCCTGACAGGCCTGGACATCGACCCCTGGGAACCGTACATGTATGTGATCTTCTCATGCTACCAAGATCTGAACGCCGTCTCGGCGTCAGAAAACTATCATCTCCCATTGGTAATCGGCACCAGCCTGTTCATCGACGAGAATCAGAAGCTATGGCCTGAGTTCCGAAACCGTATGAAATACACATACCACACTCAGGTCTTACCCATCGCCTTCAGGGACTCCACCAGGGCCAAGGACCAGATCAACAAGCACGTGGAGAAGGAAACTCAAGGACTAATCCAGGATTCAGTCGATGATCTCCCAGAAGGCACCGCACTAGTCCTTGTCAATTATATCACCTTCCACGGTAAGAGAGCGCCATCAGCCTATGCTGGTTCCACGGAAGGAATCCAAACATTGTCTCAAAATATCAGGCCTAAATCTCTGCTTGACGGTGCATCATGGGCTAAGACAGGGCATCTCAACACGGGTTCATCAATTTTCCACCACAACGATAAAATACTTTCATTACCAATAACGCAGGAGAATGAACAGTTCCCAATGGTCAGCTCATTGTCTTCTCTCTATGGCATGGTGCCTTCCTTGTCCTACCCGCTCACTGTAAATCCCTACAAGGGAGGGGTAGGCTCGGGTGCTTCCTAAACTGCGGACCAGACACGTCCTCCACCCATACTCAGGAAGGATACAGTGTCGGAAAGAACTCTTTGGACCAGTCTAGACACAGGAGGAGGTTCAGCCTTGCAGCCTGAATGATTGGGGTTCTCAGCGTGTCTATGTCCTTATCAGCTAGTGACAAGTACCCAATAATCGCGCTTCATTGTGATGCCGACTTCGTATTTCGCCTGGTGCCTCGGCTGCCTCCTGCCTCCGAGTGGCTTGATTTCAGGCCACACCGGTGCTCAGGGCATTCTAGGCCACCTCCCTCTGCCCTGTGGGAAAGGCTGGACCAGAGCAGGGGTCCCAGCAGGGCTGTACCTCCTCTCTGGGGCTCATCTAGGCAGTTTGCACAGGGGAGACCCAGGAGGAGGTAACCAGTGGGGGGCCCAGCGCAGCTCTGGACACATGACCAGGCTCATCCCCTCTCCAGGCCCATCGCCACCACTCATCCTATGAGAGTTCTGCACTAAGTAGCCTTTGCCCTATCAGACTACCACGATGGAGCTGATCCCTTGCACATAGACGAGGAGGTGGCCATGGGATCCTTTGTAACAGGTTGGGTAAGGAGAAGCCTCAGAACAAGGACCAGGACAATACCCTGGAATGTCACAGAAGGCCCACAGTAGAGGGCAGGAGGCCTCCTTGAAGGACATGGCAAGCACAGAACCGTGACACTTCCTGCTCTCCATAGCTTTTCACAAGCAATTCCTTAGCTCCCTGCAAGTAAATATAAAATACAACTGAAAGTGTTTCCTCTGTGTAGCCTGGTGTCTCCATTGAGGCTAAGCATGGAGCAATTCTGTAACCTTCTCTACCCTCAGCTGGTTCTCACTAAGGTCCTTCAGCAGCCTGCTGATGCCATTTCAACCCCCTTTTCCAGACGGTGGAGAATATGAGGTTCGAGGAAATTGTGTCTTGAGGGCCAAGGGGTCACCTGCTACATTGTCCTGAGGATTCAAGGCCACCAATGGCTACCTTGTCTCTGCAGGGAAATGGAGCGGTACCTTGGAGGGGAAGCGCATCGTGGAGGAAGACTTCCATGTGGACAAGGACACCACCGTCAGGGTGCCCATGCTCAACCTCCTGGGGATGTTGGATCTGCACCGAGAACCGAAGTTATCCAGCTGGGTGGTACTGCAGCATCTTGAGGGAGGAGCCACTGCCTTCTTCTTCTTGCCAGACCCTGGGAAGTTCCAGCATCTGGGGGACACCCTCACCTACCAGCACGTGAATGACATCCTGAAGTTCTCTACAGTGAGGTGCTTCCCCAGGCCAGGCGCTGACCCAGAGCTGAGAGGATTTGATCATGACAGGACTAAGGCACCTGGGGACAGCCCAGAGGGCAGGGGAGGACATGCCCACATCCCTCAGGTCACAGATTCATGCAGAAGGCCTTAAGGGTCCACAGGGAGGCCAGGGCTCAGTTCCAGCAGTGCCGTCAGGATCTGGGAGACTGTCAGTGCTCACAGTGACAGGAACATAGACACTGTCCATCCGAAGCCCCAGTGCTCAAGGACGAACAGCCACACCAGCCCCCATATGGCAGAATCAAAAACGAGGACCAGGGCTAGCAGAGCAGTGTGGAGGAGGACACAGTGTCCCGAGAGGATGGGGTGGCGCCTACAAGGACAGGCCCGGGAAAAAGGGCCAGAGCTAGTCTCCAGGATGCATTTGAAATGTGCCCTTATATCTACTTTGTCCCCACAGTGAGGTCCAGGCCAGCAGGGGAGCCTCCCTGAGCATGCTCACAGTATTGTGGACCTGCTCACGTGCCAAGGTGCCCGACCGTGCTGATCCACAGTACAGGGTCAGGGGACAGCAACGTTAAACATCACCAGGGAGGAGCTGATGCCTGGATGAGAATGTCAGTCCTTCTGCCCTCCCCACCCCTCCCGAGGTCCACACCAGGGCTAGAGAAGAAGTCCAGAGGGCTGTGACCATGGCTGGTCACTGAGCACCGGGTTCAATCAACTCACCCATGTCGCACCCCCTGGGCCTCGCTGTTCCCCAGGGATGAGGACAGCTGAGCATCAGCCTGGGGTGCTCACCTCCTGCTGTCCCTAAAGGATGCCTTTCAGCACCTGTCACCATGACCCCTATTGTCCTGGGGAAGGGGCAGGCTGGTCGGAGGGAACCACTTGGTGCAGAGAGAATGAGACTTGCTCCTATGAGCACACCCTCAATCTGCCGGGAGGGCTTCTCTGAGGAGGTGGCATTGCACAGGTTGCCAGGAGATGACCTGCTCCTGCTAATACACTCTAGACCAGCTGCAGAGGACGCTGGAAGTAGAGGAGCCTAAAGCCAGGAAAAACATCTGGACTTGGGATAGTGGTGAGGGGTGGGTACCCAGCACTAAGGGTAAGACACAGCAGAGTACAATGCACTGGTCCGACCAGTCGGGTCTGTGTGGACGGGAGCCTAAGCCCTGCTGTAAGTCCCATGTTTTTTCTGCTCGACAGATCGGTCAATCTGTATTTCCCCAAACTCTCCATTTCTGCAACCTACG